CTTTTAAGGTTAAAACTGCCCTTAAGAATAACAGCTGTCTGGACTTATTCTATATCCCTGAATGTTCAAAAAAAATATAGGAAACAAACTTATTCAAACATTAAAAACTAGTTCGTGATTTGGGGGGATAAATGGTTTGGTATAAGCCCACTGAGAGTTTGGTTCCTAATATTTTCTCATTAGCCAAAGGTGAGGAGGCGATAATGATGTTGTGAAGACAAATTTGAATGGAAGTACTGTTAGGAAAAGCACTATCCCCAGGAACCTCAATCATTAGAGGATGTTCATGGATTTGATGGCTCTTTTATCTAGGTTTCGGGTGGATCCTTCCGAGGAAGATTATCCTGTTTGGTTCCTTCCCCCATCATGGGAAATTCCCAGTAAAATCTCATAATAAAAATTGTTTCTCTCAGAATGCTATAACCTTTAAACTTCAATGGAATCAAATTTGGAAGAGCAGCATCCTCCTGTATAGGTTTTTTGTTTGAAAAGCTACACGGGGAAGAATCTTAATCCTGGACAACCTTACGAAATGGGCAAAATTATTGTCAACAGCTGCCCTTTGTGTCTATGTGAGCAGGAATCTCTGAACTACCTACTCCTTTGGTGTTTAGGCTAGAAAGTTGTTGGATGCATTAAGTCTTCTCAATCAATCTTGGGCAGTTTCATGGTTGGTGACGGATGATTTCTGGGCATGGGGGACTTGAGGATTTATAGATCTAGAAATAAGCTTTGCAATCGTATTCCTGTTATTTTTCAGGTTATTTGGAAGGGAAGAAAGAAAAGATTTCTCGAGGGATTGAGTCATGACATAAATAGAGAAGAAGATTTTGGGGATATCATAGACATCATTTCTACTTTGTAAATATTTTGTATATGAGTAGCACCTCCTTGGTGCCTATTAATATACTTCACACTTTTTATTTCAAAAAAAAAAAAAGATTTCTTGAGGGAGATTGTTCCCCTTCTTATAGAACTAACGACTCTTGGTTGTCCTTAACCCAAAAGAAAAAAGAAAGAGAGAGATATTCTTTGTTGTTGGTTTTATTCCGTGGATATTTTGTTGACAAGGTATCCTTTTATTCACAACAAGCATTTAGGAAGCCTTAGTGATTTGTCTGATGATCTTTTGTAATTTCTTTTACGAGCACTCGATTGGTGCCTACTAATGGCACTTCTTTTTTTCTCAAATAAAATCTCTATCTCAGTGACAAGTTTTGTGATATTCTCCTAAGAAGTTGTATTGTTATTATTGTTCACTTCTTTATTTATCAGCAACATGAAGTAATGAAGATGGAAATCAGATTTTCATATATTTTAGATTTTGTTTTAGTATTTTTTTTGGGAGATATTTTTCCAAAAGAGTAAGGTTACATAATTTTTTTTTTTGAAATAAGAGTAAGGTTTACATAATGAAGTTGGTCTTTCATGCTCTGTGTTTCCTGGGTTCCTTCCTTCTGAATTTTTGTGTGGTTACTTAGAAAATGGGAAACTAAAGTTTGTTGTTGGTATATTAATTGCTCTGTTATAGTAGTCATGAAATTTGAAGTTGCAAAGTTAATTTCATTAGATTTCTAAGCTGATACTTTAAAGTCCCTAATTAATCAGATTTAGATAAATTAGTTTCTTCTTTTTTGTTGATTTAATATGAAATATATTTGTTTAAACTAAGATTACGTTTGGTTCGTTTCTCATATAATTATTAGTCGATTCTTATTTCTTATTGTTATTCTAATATTGTTAATATGCATAATCATAAAATTATCTTTTACATTTCAGTTGGCATCACCTCCACTTTGTATTCCCAAGAGGCGGCCAATAGGAACTTTCCATACTTCTCGCCTCGTAAGAATTGAATTCCGGTCTCCACCTCAAAGTACGAATTAAATTCTCATTACTTAGTTACAAGGTGATAGTTATGAGTAACTAAAACGCACAAAAAATTGTAACAATCCATATGCTAATAGAAAATCTGGAACTGGTTATCAAATAGAAAATGAATTGAACAGATAGTAACTGCTGTTTGATAAGAACATAGGTTTCGGTCTTCCTCAGATGTAAGTGTCTGCCAGATTGCTGTATGTGTTCCTTCTCAAAGATGGACACTCAGCTGTGACTTATTTGTACGTCTTTTTATGTATGTCAAGTTTTTGTTGCATGAATACTGGGCGCACTGGGAAGCAGGCAAAGGCAAGATTGATACTTTAACTTCTTTTGTGCACCTCCTAATAAAGACACAAATTGATGTAAGGATAGAGAAAATAATTTCTTTAAAGAGAGAATCAACTAAAAGGGAATTTTTCTTTCTAAATCATGTAATATCTTAAAAGAAGAGAAAATCAAATCTCATTCTTTAAAGAATCAAATCACACGGTTTAGGAAAAATATGGGTGGTTTCTTTGCTCTTTTATATCCGGGCTTAATTATTCATATTTATTTCTTCTAATTCCTCCTCAATTAATTAAAATATTCTTATTTAAAAAGAGAATATACTATCTAGTCTATTTTAATTAAAATTTTCTTAATTTTTATTATTTTTTCATTTAACATAAAACTTAATTTTTTGTAATTTTTTCCATTAATTTAGAATATTTATTTTCTTGTAATGCATATGATCTACTCTATAAATAGGTTTTTAATTCACAATTGTAATAATTCAGGTTTGAGAATAATAAAACTATAAATTTTAGTTTTCAATTAGTTAGGTTTCGTCAACTTTTTTACCGAGTGAGAATTGATTTAACTTAATTAACCATATTTATTTTTCTTAATTACTTCATAATTAATCAAAATATTCTTATTTAAAAAGAGAATATCATATTTAGTCTATTTTAGTCAAAATCTTTTTAATTTTTATTATTTTCTCATTTAATACAAAACTTAATTTTTCTATAATTTTTACCATTAATTTAAAATATTTATTTTCTTGTAGTGCATGCGACATACTTTATAAGTAAGTTTTTAATTTTCATATTATAATCATTCAAGTTTGAGAATAATAAAACTATGAAATTTAATTTTCAACTAATTAGGTTTCCTCAACTTTTTTATTGAATGATAATTGATTTAACTTGTCAAAATAAGTTCTTGTGGTATTTTATCAATTTTTTTTTAACTTGATTTTTAACTTATCAAGTCCATACTTGTGGCGTTTTTAATCAATTCAAATTATCCCAATTAACTTGGTTGACATTCACATGTTGAATGTAGGTCAAATAAGGAAGGTTTGTTGAGAGTTTTATGCTTCTGAATACTGATGTTATGTGCGAGATTCTTGATCACGTTAATTGATCCTGGATTCTGAATCACAAATTTTATTTTTGCTCTAAAAAAAAATAAAAACAAAAACAAAAACAAAAGCAAAAACAGGACTAACCTTGTAATGTGATGAAAAGTGAATAAATAAATTATAAATCTAATAGTCTGTTTTATGTCACCGATACATGTAGAGAATTAACAGAAATAATAAGTCTTTTTTATTTATCTTTTTTATATAGTTATTCATCCATTGCACAGACCGAAGACTTGCTGGTGATTTCATGAAAAACCTGTGAGCTCAAAAGCTGTGCAAGATCAGAAATCATCTTTCTAAAAATAATGCCTTCATTAACTGACATTTTCTTGAGGGTTGCGTTTATAGGATGATACATCTTCCTTTTAACCCAAATTCTGTCCATCCTGAAGTTGTAATCATTTGAAGTCTTTTTTTTGGTTTGTCTCCATTTATCATGTACCATCAGCAACTAAAAGATACAAGTATTTCACATTCTGCAAATGTGGCTGATATGCAAACTCAATCATTGCACAAAAAAAAGAGGAGACAAACACTTCACCTTGATATAAGTTCACAAATTGGTAATTGCATGCCACTTTCTTCTATGCATATCGGCACAAATATCCACAATATGGAGGTGAACCCTGGCCAAGATGGCAAGCTAGTTCAATCAACATGAACTAGCACCAAGATCCTTAAGTAGCTCAAATCTAGGTACTGTTTAGTTAAGACTATCATCAGGTACTAAAAAGTTGGTCAACTCTTCGTTGTTATGCCACAATTTGTATAGTTTCAAAACCAAGTCATAGAGCTTGGAAGCTTTGGAAAGGCAGGCAGAGCTGATGGTTGGGTCGAAGGCCTGTTGTGTAATGAGTGGCAATGAATCCAGTTGATCATCTGTAACCTCCTAAACTCTTAACATAATAGAAATGCTCTTGCATGTTTTGTTGTGTCTGCACGCACATAGGCGTTATCAGTATGCAGTGATAACTAACCCCGACTATTGGTTTCAGCAGTATTTGATTTGTCACCAGCAAAGTTTAGTAACATTGTTCGAGTTATAAGTTAATTTATCCGGTAAAGAAGTATGTTTCTTATTTTTTATTATTAAGCACACTCATAAATAAATTTTGACTGTACAAGTCGGCGAAGTGAGTGTCTTTCAATTTATTTAGTCTGATATGCAAAAATTAGTCTTGATAATATATGCACATTTATGCATATATGTAACTATTTAAAGCATTGGACAGATGCAGGTGCTATTAACTGTTTGACTACTGACAAGTTTGAGATATTTATGCATGGTCCATGAATCTAAATTGAGTAGGTCGTCGGCCATTAATACTCTGTGCATTTAATTGGGTTGACTACCTCCCAAATTTGGCAATATCTTCTAGGTTTGCTCCCGCAGGACCGCCCCATAAGCGCATGGCCCATGGGGGTTCTGGCTGTGGACACCCATCTTGTGTAATGGAATTATTCTGACGGGGGGGGGGTACCACGTAATTGTAAGGCTTATGGTACTGAATTATTAAATTAATTTTTAAATTTTGATATGTATTATAATTTATTATTTAATTTCCTTTTATTATATTTTTAATATTTAATATTTTTATTTATTTGAATAATCAGTTTTATTTTTAATAAAAAAAATTAAAAGCATTTGAATTGCATTTTAATACTCTTAAAAAATAATTTGAAAATAATTATTAATTAATTAGTTAAATTAATAATTGTTTATTTTATAAGACGAACATAATAAAGTAAAACTTAAAATTGTGAATTGTTTTTAAATAAAGTAATAAAGTATTTAGATAATTTAATCAAAATAAACTTTTTTTATTTTTTTTGACTTTTCTAAAAATAAAAAATAAAGAATATTATTATACACAAAAATTGTAACGCCCAAACAATTGGGCATTTTTGTTATTATATTATTAATTTTATTTATTAAGTTTAATATAAAAAAAAAAGAGTGTCACGTCAGCAGCCACGTCAGTGGCCCAGTCAGCAGTCCTGGCCAATCAGGACCTGCC